GTCTTCAGGTACGTTGATGACTTTCTTATTATCCTCCAAGAAGAACAAACAGAAGACTTAATAGATACAATCCTGAGTGTTTTCTCCAGAAGTGGTAAAGGTCTGAGTTTTACGTATGAACAACCTATTCTAAATGTGCTGCAGTTCCTGGACCTATCTATAAAAATCTCAGATCACCACATTTGTTGGTCCTACCTACCACGCTCCAAAAAAGAAATTCTTAATTACCAATCTGCCCATTCAAAATTAATAAAAAGAGGGATAGCCAGTTCGTGCATGTATTCAGCTTTGAAAAAATCCTGTCACCACACCATCGAACAGAGTTTCAGCACTCAAGTAAACAAACTCTCAAGATCCGGCTTTCCATCAGCCATGTTAAGTGAAGTTGCGGGCACTCTGATACAAACCTGTAAAGGATCGACCAAAAGAAAAAAGAGCAAAGACCTTACCAATATCCGACCACTAGTTATACCATACATCCACAAGACGTCGCACAACTTAAAAAATGTTGCCAATAGATACAACGTGCCCATGGTGTTTTCAGCCCCAAACAAACTGGGTAGAATTTGCACGCTTGTGGACAAGAACAATGACAGCAGGGCTTGCTGCATGAAAAACCACAAGGTGCACTTTGTGTCTTGCATTCTACAAGTGGTTTACCATCTTCCTCTGTCCTGCGGGAAAACCTATGTCGGACAGACTGGGCGTTGCCTCAACGACCGCTTGAGGGAACATAAACAGTCTCTTCAAACCACCACTGGAAGCCACCTAGCCATCCACTGCAGAACCTGTGGATGTGATCCAGATTTTTGTGCAACAACTGTTCTAGCTTCCCATAAAGAAAAAACAACAAGAGAAATAGTGGAAGCCTTTTGGATAAGAAAGCTCGAATCCAAATGTGTGAGCCAGCCATCATTAACACTACAAGACAGCGAGTATGAGTTTATGGGGGCAGCTGCGCACAAATAGGTGTATGGTCAAGGCTTCGGAGTGCCGGCACTGGACATGCCTAGGACTTTGAGAGATTGATTTTCATTTTATTTTGTTTTCCTTTTCAGCTATAATTATTTTAGGTGTAATTTTATTTAATTTATTAGCTTTTTCACATCTTTCTCTTTTCCGATATATGTTCATGTGTGTAGTTTTCTTCCTTCTCCTTTTCATAGTAAATCGTCAGTTGCGAGTCAGCGCTTGCCTGTTCTGTCTTCCTTTTCTGTCCCTCTCCATGTGCGCTGTTTAATTATGTATAGCAACCACCAACTAGCCCAAGTATCCACCATTTTGAAGTTCAAAGATGTGTCGCCTACATTAATACATTGAATTCTAATCAGCTGCGAGTCTTTCTTGATAAAATATCCCGAAAACCAAAATCGTCATAAAAGGTCGTTTTTTGTTGTTACCATCGAGAATTAAATGTTCTAAAACGTAGGAGTTTCATCGGGGTAGGACAACTTATTCTTCTGGCCGTATTCGAAACTAAGTTATATTCTAGGAGTGCCTCGTCTCGTCTAGTCTGACTTGCAGCCAAGCTACCCGACTTTGCTCGGTAATACAACGTATGAAAATCCGTCGGCTTTTAAGTTTTCAGCAAGCCCAACTTTCTGCAGACTGCGCCGATCTTCGTGGTGTACGTCTATTTTTCGTGAACTAAACACCGCAACGTTCCTCAGAGAATCACGTATCTCCTGATATGTAGAGAATGCCTTTAAGCACTTCTGCCATATTGCCAGAAAATTTCAATGAAGCTTATCATACTCGAAATATCAAGGGTGGATTTTTCAAATTCTCAAAAATATGCGAGGCGTGCACGAAATCATCCAATCTCAAAAGCCTCGTGTTGCATGTCTTTCAATACAAACTCCGCTCTACTTGGCCCGCTTTCAGAAGGCGCATATTTCAGAAGCCCTTTTAACCCACTTTCTCCGCATCAGCGGCCCGGGTCTTCTATGTTTCGCGCCGTTCTAATTTCGTTGGTTTCGTCTTCCTCGCGCTTGGTAGGGCGTCTTGCCCGGCCAAAGCTGCTTTCGAGCGAAAACTATGCATCGCACATTAAAACGATTGGTGCCATGTCGCTTTGTTCCGAGGAACCCATTGCAACAACGCTCATAGCGTTTAGGACAGTTAAAGTTTCAATTAGTTCTGCATAATTATTTTTTATCACTACAAATAAAAGTGTGATCCCAGTTAGAAACTAGCTGACCACTAAATTAGGGAAATTTTAGAGACACTTGAGCGCGCGGTAGTTCACCAAAGTTACCATATGTTCTAAAAGGCCTCAGAGAGAGAGAGAGAGAGAAAACTTCAATTTTTTCTCCGCGACACCCCCTGAGCGGTCCGCCCCCCCGCCCCTTGTGACGTCACTGGTTGGAGGGGTAGCCGGTACAGTGTGCGCATACTGGCCGGCCCGGAGATCCTTGGAGTAAGTGGGTGTAATATGGTGTCATTAGGGTTTGTGTTTATCGGCCGCCTGATGAGGGTGGTGTCGGCTAGGCTGAATCAGAGTGAGCGACAGTGTAAAGTGGTTATGCGTTCTCCGAATTATAGTGGTGTAACTGTACGTTCCTTGCGAAAAAAAGAAAACCTTTTTTTCCGGTGTGTGTTTGGATTTTAAGGCTCTGGTCAAGGGTGTGGGACTTTGGATCGCCATGAAAAGTGTGGAAGGAGATCAAAGAGCGGGTGCGCTCTTTGATTACCTCCCAGGCCCTGGTGGCCCAATACCTATTCGATAGAGACCTGTAAGTTGGGGTGTACATGAAGGTGTCTTATTGTGCCATTCTCTCGAAAGTAGAGGCACGCTCCCTGGTTGTCTGGGCGTATGGGAATTCGACCAATTGAGTGGGGCTGTCTCCTCAGGGCCTCAGGCTGGCGGTGTGAAATTGCTGATCAAATCCGAAAAAACCGAGCGAACGCGTCTAATAGTTGGATGCATTTCTGGGAGAAAGCAAAGCACCGATACTCACGTTTTCGATGACGCTCAGCAAGCTTCAAGTAGGCTTATTTCCACTAATAAATTGTGAATCATTAAAAAATTAGGAAGAATTATTCTAAACTACCTAAATAAATAGGCCCTCGGACAGTGACTAGTACCGTACGATGTTACCTTAGCACGGTTCTGTTTACAGTATTAACCGATGTTCAGTGAAACAAACTGCCCACCATACAATACGCTAGTCCCCCGCCACCAAGTCTGGGCACTGCGGACGCGCAGATATGGTGTACTACAAGATGTCACAAAAAAAAAAAAAAAAAAAAAGTTTTTTTTTTATTGCAAAAATAAACTGGGCATTGCCGAACGCTCATTCTCCGCCCAAAGGTAGCGCTAGAGGTCACAACCAGGTGCCAAAGTTTCAGCCCGATCCGATACCTTGTTCATAAGTTATGCGTGATTTTCTGAAAATTTCAATGGGAAAATGGCGGCCGGTGGAGTTTTCAAATACATGGGGCTCTATGACATGCCAGAAACCGAAAACGGGCAAAAATGGGCTCCATTTTCCCATTGAAATTTTCAGAAAATCACTTATAACTTTTGATTAAGTTATCGGATCGGTCTGAAACTTGGGCATCTGGTTGTGACATCTAGAGCTACCTTCGAGCGGAGAATGAGCGTTCGGCGATGCCTAGTTTATTTTTGCGGTAAAAAGACCCTGTAAATTTTCTTTTGTGACACCCTGCAGAACGCAGATTCGCGTGCCGACAGCAGCACCACCGCAACGCTTTTCCGAGATCGAGCTTTTAGCAACTGTAGCGCTTTATCTTTCCAGTTAGATTTGAGGCCACGAATTGCTCCTCCATGTAATTTAATTTTCTTCAGTCTCCTTTTAGAACTGTTACAAAGAGTTCTCCGTACAGGAGGAATGTTAATTTCTTCCAAAGGAAGAGAGACAAAAAAGGAACACATCTGCTGCTGTTTAAACATTTTTTTATACGTTTAAGACTTCCTAGATGACATTTTGTCAGTACATTTAGTAAACCTAGCAACGTTCCATGCATCAGTTATGTTTCATACATCAGCTATGCTCGTAACCTGCCGGGGCCCGAGGAAGGCCTTCAGTATTTCGAAAAATTACATAAATAAAAATAAACTGCCTGAAGCGGCTAGTCAACACTTGGCAGAAGTAAGGAAACTGGAAGTTGAGGACGGCTGTGTAGAGTGGAACTCTGGGACCTTCACTAGGTTTTTGGCTAGAAAATGTAGCCTGTAATGTTGGGAGAATAAAAACTAGTAGCGACTTTCACTTTCAGGTTATAACACATGAGGGGCATATAGGGATCGGCGTCACGTGACACATTTTCCCGCTAAATTTAGCGGAGAAACTGAATGGTTGTATGTCACGTGATGTCGATTTCTCCAGGTAAATGTAGGGGGAACTGGGTTGGTTTCTGGGCCACGTTATTCCCCCGATATTTAGCGGGTAAATGAATTTGAGCATAAGTCACGCAGTCAATTTCCCCAAGGCGTGGATCACGTGACGCCACTTTTCCCGCTAAATTTAGCGGGAAATGACCAGATGGATGAACGGACAAACTACGTTCAATGGCATTTCATGCTTTAAAAAATGATCATTGTAGGTGGCTTCAGGTATGCAGGAGACTGGACCATAAGTACGTGCGGCTATGTGGCAGGGATTCTACACGGGAGGGCAATCGTGTGTACCAACGTAAGCCTGTGTCCTTTCAGGCCTACAACACCCCAAGGATACTCTCACCATGTACCCAACGACTCAAAGACGACCCTCCCAGCCGATAAATCTGCTCGCTATGCTAGATGACCGCAATATGAAAGACACGTTCAAATTTAGTCTGAGCAGAGGCACAAAAACTTCCATTTCGCAGCAGTTTTAATTAAAGCTCTTGCTAGGGCAACCCAGGTCCCACTAGACCACTTCTGTCCCTTCAATCACAGTGAACACAACATGTGAATCGCTTAGAAATCCCAGTTAACGGAAGTTCACACTGACACACCAACTGCATCAGTACCCAAGGGAAATAAAGCCAGCCAGTGGCAGTATCAAAAGATAAACTTTATTGAATCAGAAGGATAAAACTTTTCACCAATGATACCTCCTATAGAAACAAACATTTCAAACTTGTTATCCGCAGATAATGGAAGAATAACTGTAGGTAACATGCAGGGAAGACGAGGTACGAGCCACGGATGGGGCTACACAGATGTCAAAGTCCCACATACAAAATAAACAAAAATTGGGAAAAAAAAAAACCAGATCGTGTTTTTTTTTGTTTTTTTTTTAAGATCAAAGAAATGAACATGGGAACTGACTGACAGTGGAGTCACTCTGGCCGTTTGCCTTAGTGGCCAAGCCTCCTTTTGGCCCCCCCCCCCCCCCTCCCTACCCCTCCACGCTGAGAACAGAAGGCATCCTAGGGACAGGTTCCCTTGACTTGTTGCAGACTTCCCTAGAAGTGGGCCTATTCATCTCGCTGGTACTTGCGAATAGCCACGACGTCGTTCAACTTGCAAGTCTACAAAGAGGAAAAGGCACCACCCTAGTTCAATTTCATGTGCACAACATGCAGCAAAGGCACAGCAGAGAGTGCAGATGAAGATTTAAAACAAGACAGATCCCTTGCCACACGCGAAATTTATGAAACACACACTGAAGATATTGTATTTAGTCCTTGTAACTAGTTTAATTTAAAAACTCGATACGTGACCAGTCTCCTAGAATTGCCTAAACAGAATTAAAACTCCGACATCAGTCTTCCGCTGTCAAAGTTTCAAAAGCTTCCAATATAGTTGTTATGGACTTCCATTTTATTAACATTTGCTTGAAAATTATCACTACAAATTGCAAAAAATCTGGAGCCTTCTAACAGTGCATGTTTAAGCGGCTACCCTATGCACCAAACGTGTTTTTTCGATCAGGCATGTTACTTTACGTTGGCAACAACGTGCTTGAAATCAAACAGTGGAGTGAAAATGTCAATTTCTGGAGACCTCTGAAAGCTTAGAAACCAAAACAAATGAAAAAATTATATCTCATGTTAAAGCAAAACTACAAGCGACATTTCTGGCAAAAAAATTAAGTCGCAAGTTTTCCCAGAATTGAATGCTGGGAACTCCAGTGATAGTATTGTTAAAAAATGATTGACTGGGCAAACAAGGCTAGGTGTTAATTCCACACAAACAAGGACCCATGAACAATGGTATCGCAGGCACGAGTGCCGAGTAGATTTAAGTAGCCATTGTAAATTTACCACCAGTCCCGAACTTGGGGTCTTTCGATAGATCAGCAGACCCTTCAATGCTATCTAACGATAACTCCACTAAGCTATCATTACAGTCCTGCAAACAAGCAAGGTGGCAGGTGCTAAAGGTACCCAGATATAAAACTACACAGGAACCCACTCCACATATAGAAACCCTCCCAGTCTTCTTGAACAAACAGTCTGTCGCAATCAGGGCAAAGAGATCAAATAAAAGGGACGGTGGAGACACTGGAATGTGCCCATAAGCCGGATTCCAGGAAAACAGAATGCTCCAAAACCTCAAGGACATCAAGTCGTCAATTCCAGACAAAGCTTATCTCCGAAAGCAGGCATCTCTCGAAGCAGCCTGCTATCTTGATGGTTTCTGGAGAGCTATTACAAGTCACTGCAGTATCTCCCGGAGTATCATCTGGAGGACTGCCATGGAGTCCACACTTTCGACATGTGCTTGTAGAAGTGGGGTTGGTCCCTGAAAGCACTTGAGGTCCCCACTTCAACCAACCCCTCGAGAAGTTTAAACGTTGTGGGAACAGTGTGACCGTCCGTCACTCACTCTAGTCAAATCTATCGATCGGGTTTCCCAAGCCTGTATACACTTGTCAATGTGTTAAGGCCAAGATAAAAAGGTCGACCTAACATATAACTTGACTAAAAAAAATAAGCAAAAAATACACAGAAACATAGGCAGGCAGATATATATCTAATGCATTTCCAGAGTACCCTAGAGTGCTGTGGGAGGTCTAGGTACAGCTCTTCTGAAAGTGTTCCGTCCAGAGTGATCAGCCAACCCAGCCTTCCACCTTCAAACCCTACTTGGGGAAGATTCTGGTGATGTCATACACCTCCGTGCTTGCAATACCACTGCACAAGGCTAGCGAGATCACAGCTCATTACTCTCACAATCATTGCATACGAATACAGAAAGTAGATTTCCAAGACAATTTTCAAATGTTTGTTTCACTTTTTGGCCCAATCATTTTCTTTCTACAATTTGCTCTTCATCATATGGTTCCCTGCAAGGATATCGTATGCGAGACATTGAGCAGTAACCAGAAACCCCTGCTATGATAACCGAGGCAACAGACATTCAACGCATGCCACATTCTGGAACTCGAGCGAAGCAGGACCCGCAGAGACACCTACCACTTTGAGCTGTCCGTTGTCCAACTCGCGGACAATGGTGACTTCCTTGTCACCAAACTGCTTCTGCACCAACTTGTCACCGTCGAGGGTACACAGTGACTGGAGAAGGGATAAGAAATTAAATTAAATTCCACGCCAATACTACAGCCACAAGTTTTTAAAAGCATCTAGTACTATGAAAAGAGACCAAGAGAGCCAACATGGGAAAGGGCACCACAAACATCGTGTGTACCACTGCAGAGAACTACTGCACCATATCTAGGCCGACTCGACGTCCCGTTTTAGAGGTTCATTTTTGCCATCCAGCAATTTTGTCCGATAATGCCTAATGTCCCGTTTTCGTGGGAACATGCACATTTGCTAAATCGGTACTTGCGAGTGGAAGGAAACTGAACTAAGGTGTACTCGTTACAAAGATAATGTTATAGAAATAAACATACTATGAAAATGGTACCCCCCCCATCGAGCACAATTTTTTTTTTTACTTTTTCTGAGGTTACATTTGTGAACATGCCTTATTTGCATGAACACTTTGGTTCTAAAAAAAAGAATTTAAAAAAAAACTCTCCTGAAATGATAGTTGCTGGGCATTTCTTTACTCCTCCAATCAGAACATGGGATCGGAGGGAAGTCAAAATGAATCAACAGCACATCACGAAAGTTAGATTTTGTGTGCAAGAAATTAATTTTTCCCAGGGGAAACCATGATTTCTGAATACTTCAACAAACAAGAAATATGAAAAAAAAAAAGAACGAGCACACAGAAATACGTTGTCAGTTGCCCTTTGAGGTTGACAAAGCACTGACTAAGCTTTCTGAAAAGCCCCTATTCTTGGAAACAGCCAACAAAATGCTCCCATCAGCGACACTCCGATAGGGGCTATCGGCAGCGCGACTATGTGCACCGCCACACAGACCGCTGCCGCGAACAGAGCCTCCCTTTCGCCGATAGACATCCTGGAGATCGGTTCCCCCTGCACTTAGTACTCCCCACACACAATCGCAGACAGACTCCACGCGTGACGGCTCAAAGATCGCCAGAGATAGGATGTCAATTGTCCTCCGGGCCAGGAAGAGAGGCTCTGCTTCGAGAGGTGTCTTCAATGACGGAATTCTTCAGAAAGAGCCGTTGCACGTCCCCTCTGCGTGTCTCGCTTACACTTTCTCGGCAGATATCTCGCCCTAGGGTTTATCGGGCCTCCCATTCAAAGGCACACTTGAACCGATTCCGGCAGGCAGCCCCCCACCTCCCCCCCCCTCCTCCTTCCTTCCTCCCTCCCCTCCCCTCCCCCCCCCCCCCCCATTCATACCCCACTTAGGATAGCTTCTGGTGATCCCAAAAACCGTAGTAAAACACTCTACTTTCTTTCTTTCTTTCTTTCTTTATTGGTTTTCCATTTCATACAGAATGGAGGAGGCCGAGGAAAAAAGCTACAAACGCAGCTTGTGGGGCCCTCGGCCCCCTTTAAATGATGGCAGCATTGGACTCACAAAACACTCACACACAGTAACAAAACACTTCCTGGTCAATCAGATTCACTCATTCGATACAGCTCCACACATTAGTATACAGTTGCAATTTAACATGATTAGGTCGGGTAAGGAACACAAAACAATTCTAGGAAATAGCTCGTTTTCATCTCAGGCAGTTCTAAGGGCACCGGTATCAGAAAATGAACATAAAAGATATCTCAGTTCAGAAGGGGTTATAGAGGATATATCGGTGCCAGCCTCCTCAAATGAATTTAGTAGTCGAGGCAAAGTATTCCTAAGCATTTGGTCACCATAATTTGTCCGAGAACGAGCAACTATCCATGGTTCTGGAGTTTGTGTTTTATGCAAAGGTTGCCTTTTTTCTAAGTTTCCTATTTCTAAGAGTGTAGAGGTATTTTTCCTAATGCTATAATAAAAATCTCGCATAAGCCTCCTTCGGTATATGTCATGAACTTTTGGAATGTTATATTTCTTGAAAAGGTAGTCAGTATGTTCGGTGTATGAGACATTGGCAATAACGCGTATCATTCTCTTTTGCATTAAGTGTAATTTATGGAGGTTAGATTCTGTTGTTGTGCCCCATACAAGATGGCAATAGTTAATATGAGATACAAATAGCGTATTGTAGATTAATAATTTAACTGATTCCGGAAGAATATACCCATTTCGATTCAGTATACCAGCTATTTGACTAAGTTTGACTAGTACAAAGTTAACATGCTCGTCCCATTGCATGTTACTGGAGAAGTACGTGCCAAGCACTTTTATAGTGTCCAAAACTTCTGGCGGAGCGCTACAGATTTCGGCTTTCTATGTGGCGAATTCTTGTGTACGTTTTTAAAATCGGTTATATGGTGTCAAAAACGCACACGCCGCCAATGCAAAAAAGCATTGTTTCTTTTTAATCCAACAACCATATGTTGCAATAACTACTTTGCACGGCATATGGCCTATGACCCTATGCGATAAACCTCGCTTTATTTGTCCAAGTGCAGCAAAACCGAAAACACAATTCCCTCTATAACAATCTAGTGCTTCGCGCGAAAACGATTTGGGGATAAGAGCATCCGTTTACCAAACTCGTATTGATAGGCAGCTTTTAACGCAATTCTTCCTTCTTGCGTGGATTATTTTCACGAAACGAACTCATTTATTTAGCGGATTAGATATAGAGTCCACACTGCCCGAACGAGGCTCCCATATCAGACAGATAATCCCTCCCGGTGATTACAACCGACCACCGAGCCACCGAGCGCAAGCTGCTCCCAGGGAACACGAGAACCCGACGTCGCAACCGGCATCCACCGACAGAGCCCCGGTCGCACAGACTCGTGCAACCCAATCGTGGCTAAATCGTCAAAAGCGCGCCTATATTTAGCGCAGCGGGACGGCGATGGGATGCCGGCGTCATCAGCCCCGACGATCGTTTCCGGCGCCCCGAAGGCCGAACTCATCAGACATACAGACGGATGACGTGGCACGAGGGCGATGCCAATTAATGCCCCTCTCCACCGCAAAGGAGCGTCCGCCTAAACTCTCTTCCTCGTTGCACCGTTCTTCTGACTCTTCGCAGATAAGATAGGAAGGAAGAAAAAAATACCAATGGACGGATTGACAAAACCTTTCTTTTTCCCGTACCGCGTTCGTCTGAAGGCGTCATTGGCTATGTGAATCGTGATCAGACTCTTCGCAGAGCTCGCCGAGAGGCGCGCGCGAAAACCGTCGGCCACCCCATCAATAATCCAGCTGTCATCTCCCGCTTGTTCAAGCGAGCTAGGGAGGACAACTGTCGACAAACGCACGGGTCAGTCGGTCTTTGAACAGCGGACATAGCTCGAAAGAATTTGCAACTTTTAGCGATGAGACTATCGCGGTACACGACAGTCGTGAAGAGACTTCACGATGAACAAAACAAGACCCAAATTACTGTTCAACGTCGATCATCCAGATGACGGTCAGTCAAAAGTTGCAAATGCAGTACGCGCGTTAGTTCGCCGATGTCCGCCAACGACCCGTCGCGATGTCCTCTGCTACCGCGTTTTCGAAATACTTGTAGGCTACGGGTGCAGTGATGCGATTGGCCTAAGCCATTTTGGAGCACCTTTTGGAGCAGCCAAAACAGTGTTTTGGAGCAAAAAAATATGGCGTTTGGAGCAACCAAAAGAGTGTTCTGGAGCAGCAAAAGTGGCTTTTGGGACAGCCAAGACAGTGTTTCGGAGCAGCAAAAGCGGTTTTCGGAACAGATATTCTCAGAAAAAAAAAATGTTTAAAGTGCTGCACAAACGAAGGCTACTTTGCGTTGCGTTGTGTTCAGACGTGACATGCTGTGACGGAACTCGCTGGTTGTGTTTTTAGTGCTGAGACATCCCACAAGCGTACAGTGCTGTAGGAGTTGCCGAGTAATTCCGAAAAATCGCTTGCCACCGTTTTACTGGTTCCCGAGTGCCAGATTTTCGTAAAAAGTAAGCAAACGTAAAGCAGTCAATTGCAAGCGTCCCGGCTGGTGCCTCTGTCGTGCAATCATGTTCGCATGCACGTGAGGGCAACTTCTGCAGGCTTGCAGTTGCGCGTGCTTCGCCGCATGAGCGGAAACAACGGTTGTTCGATCGAAACCGAAACCATGCCACTCCGCTCCGTCGCCGACTGATTTCTAAATTGTATGCAAAATGTTATTCTCGAGCATACGACAAAAAACAGTCCAGTGGCGCGCGCTTGCCAGGCCGGCAAAGTACAAACTAAACACACACACACAAAAAAAAAATGAAAGAATTATGAGTGCATCGATGGAAGACATCGCGATGCTCAATTACGGTACTCATTTTAGTTTCGGTTTTGAAAGGCGACCAATCTTGGTTTTTTGGCGCAAGCTTGGCGCAGATTACCCATATTTTGGCAAAATGTAGCAGGATGTAGCAGGGTTAGCCACTTGGATCAGTTTGGCGCAATTGGCGCAGCAATCACCTCACTGCGGGTGGCGAGAGCGCGTGCCGTAGCTTGGCTGCGAGCATGCACGACGCCCCGTCGATCGTCCGCGGCACTATGCTCGACGTGCAGGAACTGAGCCCTGTACAAGTGGAGCTTCCTTATTTCTTTTTACAAACAAGGACACCCAGTCGCAAATGCACGAAACGTCTGGGGAGGACAAAGGCAACAGCTTCTCAGAAGCAAGCCTACCGTAAACGGAGTGCGTGCTGCATTTGTACCGGAGTTTTAAGCGTTTACTACCGAAATTCTAAGTAAAATATTTCGACATGGAATGAAAGATGCCGTTCACTGCTACAGATTTTTTTTTTTTTTTTTTACAATCTTTGTTTTTTTAACAGAGGCTCTTCCGACAACTCGTCCGACTATCGCTGACCGAATAGATCCGATGAGCGGTCCGCCACACACGTGGCATTGAATGCGCCTGACAGCATAAAGGCCATATTAAGGAAAAACTGCGCACGGCGCACAAACGGGCGAGGCGGCAAGCGATTGTGTCCAGTCGGCTAGGCACGAGTCACTTCCTCACAGCCCGAGCGGAAAACCGCCCGCGACAGACGGCAGGTGGTCAAGCGACGCTCGCAGTTCACTGCTTTGTCTCCGCCCTTGGCTGGCGCGCGGCGCCGCGGAGCTCCACTCCATATTTCATAGAGTTACTTGATATGCTCCGCCATATTTAGTTACCCTACAACAGTGGTTCTCAAATGGAGGCCCGCGGACCCTTTGGGGTCCGCGAAGGCATTCTAGGGGTCCGCGAAGCCCTGCCTCATCAGTCAAGCCCGGCAATAAAAGTTGTCTTTTTTCAGGTCGAGAAGAAATCTTTCAGTTTTCGGGCGAGTTTTCTCGTATGTATTTGTATAATAGAGGACTACTTTACGATAGCCGTCAGTTATACCTATTGATTAAATCATAACCTATACCTTTCTATTCCCCTCACCCCAAACGGGGTCCTCCATCATCTCCGCCAATCGACAAGGGGTCCGCGAAACATCGATGGCTGAGAACCACTGCCCTACAAAGTCCACAGAGTCTAAGGTCCTGGACAAAAGCGACTAGTGCCCGCTCAAAGGCGGAAGTAATTTGTTTACGAACGCCCACAAAGTTCATGACGAGGATGAGAATTTAAGCACCTAATGCTTTACGCTCTTCACTAAACGAGTATTAGAAAGGTAGAGGGAAGAATAAACATGTAGGACGAAGACTACACACCACTTTTATGGGGAAGATGTGGTTGTATCGTCTTCGTCCCACATTTTTATTCTTTCTCCAATCCCGCACCAACACGCTTCTCGATTAGTAGTATCGGAAAGAGAATGATAAAATGGCCAAGCAGTTGCTAGCTCTGAACACGAAGTCGAGACAAGGGTGCATCCATGGGCGTACCAACCGGAGCGGGGGGGAAGGGGGGGGGGGGGCTTGCCCCCCCCCCCCCCGACCTCCCAGTTGTCAGAGTGGGGAGCCAAGGCATTTGTTTTGTCCCCCCCCCCCCTCCCCCCTGAAACAACCGCCACTGGGCACGGCAAACACTGGTTGGCGGCGCCCAAGGACACCATCCCCCGGTTCTGGGAGGGGAGGGGGGGTCTGGTTTGCCCCCCCCCCCCCCCCCCTTTCAAAAACAAGTTGGTATGCCACTGGATGCATCCCTCATCCTCTTCTATGACGAACATTGGGGGCAGAGCCAGATTTTGAAAGATCGCGAATGAAACGTTCCACGCACCTTGACCTTGACACCGTCGATCCTGCCCTCCTCGAACTCCTGGCCCAAGGTGAAAGAAACGTCTGATGTCTTGAGCAGCGTCGAAGTCTTGATGGACCACTTGTCACCGTCGCACTTGAGCTCCACTGAGGGCTTCGACGTCTGGGCCAGCTTGCGCCACGTCAGGCCCACACCTGCACGGAGGAGACGGCAAGAGAAACCTTGAGAACTGGACTACTTTCTACCCTAGTTTGGTATCAATTAATAACAGGAGCGTTTCGGTGACGTCGCGTACCCCCCCCCCCCCCCCCCCCCAAAAAAAAGAGCATGTTTTAGAGCTCAGCTCTTAGGGGCTCGTTTCCAGCCTGAGCGGCGTCGGCGTAACCGGGGGGGGGGGGGGGGGGTCACGTGACCCCCCTCCCCCGAGATCACGTGACCCCCCGGGGTCACGTGACTACCCGCAGGTGACGTGACCCCCCTCAGTATCCTTCCCTACTCCTCCTCAAGAGCTGCGCTCCAATTCGGCGTTACAGGGATTTGTAAAGTGCTTTTTTAACGACGGCGTTTGTAAAAAAAAAAAAAGTATACTACATAACAAAGAATAACAGGACGAAACACAGACGAGTACATTCTTTTTTTATAAGAATGTAACCGTCTGTGCTTAGTCCTCTGTTTTATTCTTTCTGTTATCTAGTATGCATTTCGTTTATTTAGAAGCGAAGGTTTTGGCTCATTGTCTGTACGAGCCAGCGTGCTTGTGTTTGCTACACGACGAACAGTGAATAAAATTCGGACCCAGTTTAACTGCATGGCGCCTTGAACACAATGTGCACACCAAGAAAGCCGAGTCAAATCAGGGTGCCTTTTGAAAAACATCAACCCGAGAAATATGGAGCTCAGATGCGAGAGAAGCATTTATACAGATGCAAGAAATTTCTTCTTCACTAGGTAGTTCGAACAAACAGCCTGCTCGCTGACATTAGTGTTGGTGGCCGCTGCTTGGCGAAAGACTTTGTTGAACGGGAAACGAACAAAAGTTATCTCAAGGGACAGAAAATCAGCCGCCCTCCAAGATCGCAGTGTCACGTTTCGTGCAACAACCACCGCCAGCCGAAGCGCACACAAAGAGAAATGGAGAGAAAATCGGGCCGGACTAACTGAAGATTAGGGATTTCCCCCAACACCTCGCAGCGTACACAAATACCACGAGGGAACTCCGCGGTCGAGGCGCAACTGAAGCGGAAAAGTTTATGAACGTGCGCCTGGTGTTTTTTTGTTTGCTTTTCCCATCTACGCAAGTTGCACAGGCCATTGATACGACAGCCCACGTACACTGCTCCGCACCTGCCTCATAAGAAATCTCTCCAGTCGAACGTGCAGTGCAGCTACATCGATGTAGCGGTGGTAATCGAAGGACGGGCCGCGAGGAGCACGACGTTTCTAAGATGCACAGGGAACACTGAGCCGGAGGTTCGGTTAGAAACACACAAGGAACCCTCTTTAGACGTCGTGTTATCTTAATACAAAATCAAAATGCATTTTCTAACTGCTAGGCGTGCAAGTCTATTAGAGGCCCTGCTGCACTGACAATGCATTCAACTTCTTTTTATCACAATCGCGCGAGGGCTCGTGACCATGTTCGATGCTCGTCCCATCCAGCCCTCTCATGGTTCATGCGTACGATTCAAGTCTCGAAATTCTCAACTTCCCTCCGAGCTTTATCATTTCCCAGTAAACTTCTGCACACGGGTACAGCCTCCCCTCTCGGCTAGCTCCTCGCTGTCGCCCTTACCGGAGGGCGCCGCCCGACATGGCCAACATTGGCAGCACCCATCTTTGCGAATATTTGGTCTCTTGACGATCCGGTCTTTTTTTTGTTTTTTTTTTTTTTTATCGTCAGTAGTGCGGGGCATAAAAAGGAATGAGGACCGATAAAAAGGCACGGTGTTAATTACTTCTGACGGGCGGAGGCGCGGTAGACTGCCCCTCTTTCGTAGTCCGCGAACCAACCCCTCCCCCCCCCCCCCCCCCCTCCCAAACGGCGCTCGTTAGAGAGGGTCCATTCTATGTGGCCAAACCCAGCCTGTTGGGGGGGGTAAAAAGTTGCGTTTAACGAATGGGCTGTTGACGGGAGTGACTTCATCGCTGCTCGCGATCACGAGAGTCTGTATTTAGCACCTTTCTACGTTTATTCCAGCTACGCCACACAGGCTCCAAATCTGACCCGCCGTTCGACAGTAGGATCTCACGTTCCGGCCATTTCCGGCCGAAACGACAGGCCCGACTACACAAGCAAAACAGAAGTGCTCGAGCTACTCGAGCACCCAGCCAGCCACCCGACACCGCCCTCTCGGGGGAAGGGGGCGGCGGCATGCCACCCGTTTATCTTTCAGCCTATCGCACGGCCCGGCCGAAACCAAATCTGGCAAGACAAAAACAAGACTCATCCGCGACCACGAGTTAAGCACGTTGTTATCAGGTTCGAAAACGCGTCATTTCTTGTGCTAAACAAACGCGCGAATGCACACGCACACACGCGAGAAGCTAGTCAGTATACGAGTAGACATATTTACGAATGCTAGAAGACGAGGGGCGTCTGCTACTAAGAACGGAATCCATTTTCTAATTGGACATTAAAAAAAAAAAAAACGCGTATACTTTTTGAGATTGATAAGTGCAAGCTTTAAACTGAACGTTCGGGAATGCATAATTCATTATTTTGCGGTGAAAAAAAAAAAAATCTTTTCCAGACAGTGTGTCTTGATCTACACTGCCGTTGTCAGCACAAGTTGCCTCTAGGGAAGGGGACGCTCTCGGGTTGAAATTCAACGGAACAAAATCTGGAAGTATGTTCTTTAACGACACCAAGGGAGATCTTTTACAGATGCAGAACACAGATATAATGGTAGACAAGTAGAAATATCTGGGTGCGCGGATCAATGAAGGAAAGAAATACCTCGATGAACATGACAGACGTGCAATTAGTAAGAATAAAAGGAATTCGGTTATTATAAAGCGCAGGGCGTTACGGAACTTTAATATATACGATGTGGTGCGGGGAGTATGGAAACGAGTAATGGCACCAGGATTGACCTTTAGTAATGTAGTCATGTGCACGAGTTCTGAAGTTCAGGCGAAATTGGAGATAGGATAAAGGAGCGTTGGCAGGATAGCCCTAAGGGCGCATGGGAACACTCCAAACAAGGGAGTGCAGTGCGGTATGGGCTGGTAATCGTTCGAGAGCAGAGAGGCAGTGAGTACAATAAATTTTGACTAATGACTAACAGACATGGAAGACAAGCGGTGGCCACATAAAATCTATAAATACCTGTATATGAGGAGTCTAAACACCAGATGGGCTAAACGGACCCGAAAGTTTAAGATGAAATTTCTGCAGACGGGCAATGGGGTGGAGCAAACGCGTTCAGTGGAAAATTCAGTTAAAGGAGCGATGCAACAGTTTTTGTACTGTGCACAAATACCGCTGAAAACGGATCCCTAACGTTAATGACCTATGAAACACGCGTTCGTTTTTCACCCCACGCAATAGAAGTCCCAGAAACAAATTAAAGAAAAACGAGCAGCGTTCACCCCCTCAACTCGCAGCCAGAACAAGCGGCCACGTGATCTGGAGCCGATTATATGCCGCCAGTGTTGATCATAGCCACGCGCTGGGGTTGGCAAAGCGCAGGACACGCGCTGAGTTCCAGACATTGTTATGGCTCGGCTGTTGTCGTTGCAGCGATTGGACACGGGTCACAACCCGAAGGCTTCTCGAGCTAGCAATTGTCACGAGCCCACGTCGAGTGCCCACGCAATGCTCGGGTCCAATCTATGAACCGCATTCAAATATCGTCACTTGGGTGTACTGCGATCCCCGAGTTACGTCATCAAATTTTGCAAAGGAGAGATTGAATGAAAATGATCGCTTTTCTCCTTGAAATTACACCGCAACAAAGGAGTTTCTTGGCCAATGGCGTTGCGTGTGAGTATCCTTGAGTCCCAGGTGTGCCAGTAAGCTCGTGTGGAGAGAAAAAAATTCCAATTGAATATCGTTGCACAGCTCCTTTAAGGATGCAGAGAGACAGCTGTCAGAGGCGAAAACGCAGGGGAAATCAGCTGTAACGATTTATAATATGAGTAATGCTATATGCACTCCGGAGTGCAGCTCGGCCGGAAATCGCTATATGCACTGCGTTTGTCTCGTATAAAATGAATGATCACAATGAGTTCTCCAACCGGTGGCATAGCGTAGGGGATAGCGTGTCCGTTTCGTACGCAAGAGAACGCAGGTTCGAATAGCGGTAATCCTACCTTTTTTTTTTTTTTTTTTTTTTTTTTTCTTGAACGTTGTCTTGACGAGGCATTTGGCGATATTTATATTTCTTTTTTTGCGATAAACACTTAAAAAAAAAAAAAGAAAACACCGAGTGTTGTCGACGAAACTTCGCAGATCGGGGACAGCGGGGCTTGGGTTGCCGGCTGGACGCCGCGAAGCGGCGTGTACTGGTTAACTTTTCTAATTAGCAGCCGCATACTGTCGCCGCGAAGCGGCGTGAACGCAGGCGGGGGGCTGTGTTAACGAGCTCCCCAGTGATACACGCGCAGTTCGAAAAAGGGTGGCCCGAGCGGCATGAGCTCTCAGCGTAGTGCATATAGCAATTTCCGTCCAAAGTGCACTACGTAGTGCATATAGCATCGCTCTTATAATATGGTTACAAAAGGAAATAAAAGGTTTATACGATAATTCGAGAGGGAGCGTTCTGCTGTTCGAGGCGAGGACGGGAGTCTAAATAACAAAAATCATGTATAGGTCCAAATTTGAAGACACAGATACAATGTGCGCAATATGTAAGGAGGAGTATGAAACAATTGATACCAAAACTTGAAAGTATAATACAGCGAGGACGAAGACGGGAACAGGACTTTTCATTTAGCAACAACACGGAATGGCACAACGATAAAACCGCCCCCGAACGTTTCAACGTTGTCGTTGGAGGGGGCGGCTTTATCGTTGTGCCATTCCATGTTGTTGCTAAACGAAAGAAGTCCTGTTCCCGTCCTCGTCCTGGCGATCATGTTCATGACCCGGTGATACGTAAAGAAACGCATTGGGGAAACCAGGTTTTAGTTATCGTTTTTTAGGCTAGGTGGTGCAAGCTACCGCCCGCTACAAGGGTACAGCCGTTACCCATCCGTCGGTCCAGCGTTAATCAGAACCGAATGAAAAGCCGCGGTCACACTGTTAATACATCGCACAAAAGACGGCCAGCAGACACTGTCCGAGGTATGTTCCATGTTCACTCCCAAAATTTATGGCTGGTCATGTTTTGGCTGAGCAGCGTAATCTGTGCTCCAAAAAGGAAGCAATCACCAACGTGATCTGCAACGTGGCGATCAGCAGCGCGGCGAACGCGCGTGTTTAGAAGAGACAACGGCGGCAGAAGCAAGTGGGTCCGGTGGGCGGAGTCGCCGAGGGATTTATGACCGAGCCTCGGCGTACGCGAGACAGGTCACAGGTGTTCGCAACGACGAATCGTGACTCGTGGGAAGGACGACAGGCGCCCCCGATCCTGGCGCTCGCTGCTTTTAGAGCACGTTGGGCAGCCAAGTTTTTTCATATATCTTACAAAAGACGCGGTTTCGCTACACGCATGATGACCGAATTATTTGCAGGCGAGCTTCAAGTAGTATGTTCGAAGCATGCTCGATTCACAGAAATGTGCGCTTCCAACATGTCTAGCGCACTTTTGTTTTCTTTTTTTTCCTTTACCCATCTGCATTGCTTGGCGGGTTGCCGTGTGCCCTAATTTGTGATAATAAATCATTTTCACTCTTTTTTTCACGAACAAGAAACAAGCCTCTACGTCAAGACGTCAAACTCAACTTCCAAAAGAATAGAAAAAAGATACGGCGCTTGTAACAGCTGCAAGATACAAAGGCGGAGAACAAAACCAATGCCATACGCTGTCCGGGTCGCACCGAACACAAAATAGCATAAAAAGAAAGCAATTGTGGCAATCAGAGCGAGTTAAGCCGCTATCGTACTGTACGGTCATCTGAAACTTGCGTTGTTACGTTTTAATTTCACGCTGCAGGGCTCCAACGCCAGACGCGTCTCGCCAGTCTGGGGCCTGCCTCGACACACTCCACGGCACTTTCGCCGGTTGCGTGTACGTTTCGAACACGCAATGATGTGGTGAGCAAACCATCGTCAATGGAAAACGCAATTGAAGGGAAGGGCGGAAGGGTCCGCGCGTAATATGACGCAACACGCCAGAGCCCTAGGGCGTACACGAGCATGGCCGTGTACCAAATTTCCCCCTCTCGCCGGAACGCCGGCGAAAGCGATTCCACGCAACATTTCCGCCATTAAACGCACAATACGGAAGGCATGCAACGGTCTCCACTTTCACGCGTGGTTTCTCTCAACCCGTTCTCGCGGTTTGCGTAAGATGCGAGGCTAGCGGTGACCGCATGACACCGCATTGTTGGCGCTTTTGCGGTCCGCGTTTTTGAATGCGCCGGCTCGCATATCGGCACGCAGTCATCGCCGCTGCGGCTCGCTTTTATCGATCCCTTGCGTTTGCCGAAGAAGCCGGCATCGAGACGAGAACTGGAGGTAGCAGTGTGCAGTTTCGGCCAAGTCGTGCCTTCGTCGGGAACCTCAGCCGGTGTCGCGCCCACTGGAACGCGTTCTCGAAGAATGCTCGAGCAAGAAAACGAGCGAGGGATGCCGGCTATTCTGAGATCCGGAGCAGAAACTATTAGTAGCGAACACGCTAACTGGCCTTCTAAACGCGTTCCCTGTTCTGGGTTGTCCCCAATTTGCTCCAAGCCGCCCGAAACATTAAAAAAAAAAAAAAAAAGTAAAGAAGCACGTGAGCTGAGCTGTGAACACGCCGCCGGTGCCGCCCGCCTCGAGAATCAAGTGTAAAGAAAGTAAGAAAATGAAAGTTAGAAGAAACCCGCGTGCTCGTGGAAACTTAGCCCCGACGCTAATGCGGATAGCGCACTCACCGAGTTCCTTGAGGAAATCGTCGAAGTTCTCGCTTTCGGTGAGCTTCCACTTGCCGAGAAGACCAGAGGCCATGGTGGTGGTTTGGAGTGGCGGTGGTGCGAGGAAGAACGAAGGAACACAACTGAGCGAGGCGTGTGAATGGGAGGGAGACGCCGGCAAGTGCTTCCTTTTTGCGTTTTCTTTTGTTCGTTAGTTTTCTTTCTTTGCGCCGACGCGCGCGCCGCCGCTATCCCAGTTATCCGCCGCCGTCGCCGGAAGCCCGTAGAGATACGGGACTGTAGCTCTGCTGTCTCTGCTCTGCAAGAGGCTGTCGCTAGAGGTGCTAGAGGTCCTATGAAGCTTTCCGATATTGTGGCTCCCCCTATCGGAGCTCCTGATTAACGCTGATCACTCGATTCCAGCCGGAGATTTCGCTGGTCCGCTCAAGACGCTGAGGAAAACAAAAACCGCGAGCAAAAATAGCGTATTGGGTTCATATTTTTATTTTTGTCTTCCCTTTTCATTTTGGCATGTCGAGGTTTATAACGCCGGCCGCAAACAAAATTAAAAAAAAAAAAAAATTGACCGTATCTCTACGTGGTGAATAATGTTAATTGGGGCGAAGCTCTGGTAGTGCTTGTCTGCGTAGACGCTGCGCCGCAGCATGCCGAGCCTTTCGTTCGTTTTCATCCATGTCAGAAAGACAATGTGTGAATTAGGGGTGTCGCGAACTTTTGTCGAACCAGATTTTTTGGTCGAACTTTCGGGGTTCGACTGGGTCGAACCGGTTCGACGAACCTTCGAACTTTTAACCAAATTCGACCGGTTCGACTTTGTGGACAGTGTGGCCAGACCTTTATAAAAGCATGTCTAAGTTTGGAGAAATTTTTTTTTATGCGAAGGGTTATTTTTAAATTTATGAACAGTTGCAATTAAAGAAACCAATTCTAATCACTGAATAAGTTATTAACTTAATTGTTTCGTGCTGTATTAACTGAAATAACCAATCAGCGCTGCACTTCATTCATCTCTTAGCCATTATCATCCAATCCGAAGCCAACTGGCCAGCCTGTCGCGCATGCGCACACGAGTCGAACCTCAATAGAAGGTTCGTCGAAATTTCCACTAAAAGTTCGAAAAAGTCGAACCTGGTCGAACTCGAACCGCGGCCGGTTCGCGACACCCCTATGTGTGATATGAAACCGTATGAAACATTTGACCGCAGCGCCCTCTCGTCTGTAAACGTTGAGCCGATGTTGCATTACAGTGTACTAGAATACTGTAGTTGCATGTTGCCACAGGGGTGGCCACATGCAACGTTTCATCCATGACATCCCCAGCTCTTGAGTTACTACTCTGGTTACTACCACATCTCAGAGCCCCCTACCCGTCCCGCAGTCGTGGCCGAGTGGTTAAGGCGATGGACTAGAAATCCATTGGGGTCTCCCCGCACAGGTTCGAATCCTGTCGACTGCGCAAACTTTTTTTTTTTTTTTTTTTTTTTTTTTGCGTTTGTGAGCTTACGAGCACGAACACCAGCAAGATCGATGTGAGCACGGATGCCGGCCCGCTCTGGACGGACCGACAAGGCTAGACCCTAAGGAGCTTCGCTCCTAAAAAAATAAAAAAAAACTTCTACAAAAGTAAAAAAAGAAAAGAGCTTGTCAGATTAAAATTCAGCAGTCCCTGAGGATGCTTCACACTTGAGAACATCAGCGGTTGAATGCATATTTGGTATAAGAGGCCAGATGTCTTGTCGAACACAGTTTACTCATTGCCATCATCGCAAGATTGGGAAAATACAGCAATTAACATCTTTAAAAAGTTGGCCCCTATTTTCTGCGGTGGTATCCGTTTACGAAGTTCTGCCATTACAACTTAAGTTAATGAGTCAAACGTTCTGTGTTACTTAGCCAGTGATTTTAATTTCAATTCCACTATTTTTGAAATTACTGGTGCCACCTGACCGAAAACGGGATTCAAAGATTCCTAGGATGAAACCATGCGGACATTGGGAAGGAGACAGAGAAAACGAATTTGAGGACAAAAATTATAAGCCACACTTAGAGACTTTTTTCCTTTGCCTAGGCAGTGCCCGCGCTTGGTTGACCATGTGCTCATTAATTTTCATGCCAGAACATCACGAACTGGTGATTTACAAAAATTGGCTCATTTCTGGGGCCTTTGCACCAGACTACTCAGCTGTCCTTATGAAGTCACAAAACAAACGATAAGAAAAAATATTTTTTTAACCACCACTCAAAAACAAGCTCATTTTTTTTTTTGTTCTGTATCTACAAACAGCTGTTGAACAAATGCTTCTTGTACATCGCCCCTAGCTCATCCATTTGCTTGAGTTGCACTCTTCAAGCTTTATCTTATTGCTCGCTTCCCTTCACTCTAAGGTAGATAATCGTCGAATCCATGTATCTGAAAGTCCGTCGAACTCTTTGCAATCGTGCCCCTTATCTGCATGTGCAGATTGGTGCGTGCACTTCTGCACGACTAAAGCAAAAGCTCCGGGACGGAGGTCACAGCCATTGCAACCTTTCCGGATGCATGCACATTCTCGCTGTAAAACAATAATTCAAAGACATCAGTTCATAATTTGTACTGCAGTCAAGGTGCCTTTTATTCTACAAGAAACAAAGGGCTATTTACTTTATTGGACCATTTTAAATTGTTTGATTTGAATATTGTAAGAAATATTTAGGATTGTTTAAATATGATTGTGTTCCCTGTACATTCAAGGGCACCGGACCCAGTCAAGCTAGCTTCTGTTAGCTTTTTGTCCGGTGTCCTCGGCATAATGTTGCTGAAATAAAGTTCGAAGTTCAAATTAAAAATAATGTTATTCAAGAAGAATCCATGAAATGGCACTACTTCGGTAATTATTCAAGTAGAGTAATTGTATTACCACATATTAATTTCTTTTCCATGTTAGTAATTGTAATTGTAATTAATTACTTCTGACTGAAATTTATAAAGTAATTGTAGTTGCAAATACTTTTTATGATTCCGACAAGCTCAAGCTTTGTAGGAATCCATAGAATCATTGACAGGAGAAAATATCCAAAGTGCATGCCTCATGGCCCTTCTGCCAACTCGTGGGACTTTTGAAAGTGCCAAATGGGTGTGCACAGCTCAGAGCCCTGCACAATGCCGGGCCAGCCCAAAAGCCCAGGTCGTGCTCGGAGGATGGTGTAGCACACTTTCTAAAACGTTGAGAGATAAATGCAATTGCACTGATCTTTCACAACTTTTTTTCGCACTTCAAATTTTTTCGTTTCAAAGAAACGAAAAAATCCGAATTGCGAACTTGCTACGATGCTACTACAAGAAATCTTAGAAATAAAGAAAAAGCCGTCTTGGACTAGGAGAGCCCACAAGGAGTTGCAGAGAATCCTGGGGATTCCACCAGCATAGTGGGACAGCCGCCAGCAGGCAAGAAAACAAGGGCAATCCAATCACGGCGGACATTACGATTGTTTTTCCCTTTCCTTTTCAAACTCTTGAAGAAGAAAAAAACGGCATTCTGGCCACCAAAGATAAGCTATGTATTTTATATTTGTATAAAATTTCAAAGGTTCACCATGTGCCTGCAATATGAAAGCGTCTTTCGTGCGAATTAGTGAATGAATCGAACGCAACAACTTCCCAGGGCAGCTTTGAATTTAAGAGATGGAACACGCATTGGCCACTTACTTGGCCGGGCAAGGGCCGAGCCTGATCAGGTAGGCATCTCATCGAGCCGGGTCACAGTCAGGAGTGACCAAGAGCATAGCCTCCTCTAAACTCACAAAGCCTGGCAGTTTGACGACGGAGACACAGAGTGACCGGTCACAGATTTGGAGCACAACGATCTGGTAACACAGGGCATCTAAGAGCCATTTCTCGGGGAACCTGGACGTCAGTGCACAGCTTTTGCAGCAGTGAGGACCCGAAACACACTTGTTCGCTCAGAAGAAGTGTGTTTCAGCATCTCGCCGCAGCGGGGCGCCAGTCACGTGGCTCTCTTCTCATCCGTTGTCTGTAGCTCCACCTTTTCCATTTCGGCGGCCGCTTCTCCTGGCGATCTGCCAGGTTTCGTCAGTATGTAGGAGGCTATGCTAAGAGTCAGCGGACCCGGGCCAGGCCTCAAAAAGTAGGCCTGTGCAGTGCTGTAGCACAGCTAGGAAAATTCCCACCCCTTTATTTACATGATGCAATCCTATCCTTCAAGAAGCTCATTTAATGAGAAATAATTTTGAGAAAACCAAGCTCGCAATGTTCTCAAATTTGAAGTCGATCCGCATGGGCTTGAAGTTTTGCAGCTGCAAGCTGAATTTCCAACAGTGCCCTGTCAATTCTAGCATCTTCCTCCTAAAAGAAGAAAGAATCACACTTTTTCAATGCCACAATGCTGCGAAAAGGCAGAAGAACAAGAGTGGTGCAGAAACCGAGCCAAGAATGTTACGACCCACTTGCACACATTTCCTGACTTGCAGTCTGAGCACGGTGCGGAAGTTTTGTACAGGGTTATATTTAGCCAAAGTACAAAAACGCACATCTTTAAATCTCACTCCCAGGTGCTTGGGTTTGGACAGGCAGTACGTTCTGAGCGCTCTTGCGTCATCCTTGCCGTGTGGTAAGCTAATTAGGATCTAACGTTAAAAGTCATATTTCCCCAAGAGAACGCTGGTAAGATACTAGGGAGTTTTAGTAGACAGTGTTTCCCCCCCGCTAAGCCCTCCACAACGAAGAAACCGCCACTGCGCCTGCGTGCCGATGGCCTTGGCTCTAGAGTTCCCGGTAGTGGAGGGGCTTAGCGAAGAGCGGAACACGGTCTACCAAAACTTCCTATTGTACGATATCTCCGTGCAGATTGGTGTCAAGCTGCATAAACACCTGTGCAAGTTCTACTACAACTGCTCTTACATATTAAATAACATTTATTGTTTGTACAACTGTGGTACAAAAATGTTCTCAAAAAACAGCCCTAAGAGAGCATGGCATTTATTCGAGCCGTACGGCCTCAATACAGTATAGACCACTTACAACGTAACCGCTTATAGTGCAGGACCGGGTATAACGCGGCTTTTTTAAACCACCGGTTCGCCTCCCATAGAACTCCATGTAATTACATACCGCTTAAAATGCATGCGCACGAAGGGAAACACAGGTTATAGTGTGGTTTCTAAAACAGACCGTTGACCGACCGGAGCAGCGAGCACGCTTCCCTGTGCGACACTAGATAACGGTGCTAGCCGCAAGCGGCACTCGTGGGGCAAGGAGGTTGCTCGAAGAAGCAGGGAGGGGCGGAGAGGCTTCAGTTGAC